GTTTGAAGTCCCCTTTTGAAGACCCGGAGCTTCAAACCTATTTTCACTGAGACTATGAGGTAAGTTAAAACTGACGTAACAGAGAGAAAGGTTTGAAGCCCCGGACTTCACGGGTATTTCCAATGCCCTCACATGAACTAAATTTTTTTATATTAGATCATTATAAAATTAGATTAAAATCAATTTGATAGGACGAAAGACTTTTAACTGTTTCCTAATAAGGGGTCACATTTATGATTTTTACTCCTTTTTTGTTAAAATCAAATTTGAGCATTCAATGACTCAATGTCATGTAAGACGCCGTACAGTACATTGTACAATTACCAAAAAAAATCGCATTTAAGAGAGTGGTGGGTGGCTTTATAAATCTTGCCATCTTGGTGTTTTGAGTTTAAGTTTTAATGCTCCCTTTGTTCGATCCAAAAAGTGGAACAAGGGATCGTGGACGAGGTAAATCATGGTGATTCACTTGGGCAAGAATGTTAGACCTCTGCTCATCGCGCACAAGAAGCCTCCTCATTCTTTATGGGATTTTTAGATAGCTCCCACACTACCACTTGCGGGACTCAATCTCTGATCATCGGTCCAAGATTTTACGTTCTCGACCAACTGAGCTGCCCATGCAAGCTTAATACTCCCTTTCTTGAAATAAAACACCACAATTTGTGCTAAATCTTTTTTTGCTACGAATTAATATAGAAATTATCAAAACAAAATTTCAAGAAATTAAAGCTAAATTTTACTTCCTACGTTCATGAAAGAATGCCACAGTTACTATTCTGGCCTCTCGATAACTTTTGTTTGTTTACTCGTTTTGGTTGACCATTTGATAAAATAAAATATTTTTGTCACATCTTATTTTGTAGAACTTTTCATATACTTTTGAATGGTGTAGTTTTTACTTTTTATTACTCTACCAATTTGAAAATATAATAATTTCAAAAGAGATCATATTTTGCACGTCGTTCGAAGTATTGCAAATAATTTGGCACAGAGGGAGTACATGATAAAAAAGGTTGAATTGTAATTCCAATATCTCTAGTATCCGCCCGAACAATAGGTGAAATGAGAGTGTGTGATCTATATTCGTTACGAGTGTTTTTTTGGTTTTGAATCTAAAATTACCTTTGTTGCACTATCCCTTCGACCAATTGTGCAAGACCTTGAGATAAAGCTAAACATTAAAAATTTTACTTTCCTCCGTCTCGATAAAATTACTCTCTCCGTACGAAAATATTCTTCACATTTGACTTTTCTTGGTCAAAATTTACAAACTTTGATTCCGATTTGTGGAAAAAGTATATCGTATTATGATATAAATTTAATATCAATATATTCTTAACAAAATGTAGTTTTGAAATATCAAATTTTTATAAAAAATATTTATGTATAAATATAGATATTAATAGTCAAAGTACAACATTGAAGACCGTGAAAAGTCAAATGAGAAGAATATTTCCGGACGGAGGAAGTATTATTCTTTGACTTTCATAAAATTTAAGCTATGATTAACATTTATTTAAAGATGTGAGAAATGTTTTGATAGCTACACAATAATTTCAAAAATAATGCTCCGTAAATAAAGTAAGTGGAGAATACTTAGAGCATCTCCAACCATATCATCTTAGTTTGCTAAAAGTTATAATATAGCTAACTAAACCCTTTTGTTCTTCTCCAAAGGGTATGCTTTATTTTAGCAAGTTTGCCAAAAAATGACTTTGGCTTGCTAAATATAACAAGCTCCTCAAACTTTAGCAAGCCAATACCTAAAAAAAAATAGCAAATTATGGTTGGAGAATGAAACAAAAAAGTGCTTGTTATATCACTATTCACTTGCTATAATGTAAAAATAACAAATCCATATAACAAGCATGGTTGGAGATGCTCTTAGTAGTCTAATTTTTAACACATCCAAAAAAGGAAAATATAATAAAAAAGAGGACCGTACTACAGTGCACACACCCCTACCTCCTTTGTTGCCTCCTTATTTAAGTTTTTTTTATCTTTTCTCCTTCTTTTTTTCTTTTTTCTTTCCTCTACGACTCTGTTCCCAGTCCCTCACCCCACCCCCCTTCGCCGTCGACCTCTCCTTAGCCGCCGACCCAGCCTCTTCTTTCGCGGCCGACCAGCCAC